AAGTAGGTGCTTTAGACCACTGAGCCATCTCACCAGCCCCTGAATAATTTTATTTAAATGTACAAGATTATCAACATACTTTTTCCCTTAAAGTTTTCAGCCTGTAAGATTTCAAGGGGAGCCAGGCCTGGTGGTACACACCTATGACACTTGGGAGGGAGGCTGAGGCAGGAGAATCACTGTGAGTTCAGAGTCAACCTGGGCTACCTGGCAAGACCCTATCTAAGAAGAAGAAGAAGAGAAAAAGTTTCAAGAAAAAGTTCAAAACACATTTCATATTACTTACTAGGAATCGCAATTTATATTGTCTAGAATATAAATTAAGGGCTGGCAGATAGCTCAGCATATTAAGGCACCTGCTTAGGCAGACGCAGGGACCCGGGTTTGATCCCCATCATGCTGTGCTAGCAATTGAGACTGGGCGTGGTGGTGCGTGCCTGTAATCCCAGTGCTTGGGAGGCTGAAAACAGGAGGATCACTGCGAGTCCAATCTGTGTAGTGAGACCCTATAGACCCTGTACTACATACACAATAATAAACAATATAAATTAATTTGACAGGAAATGTCTGTGGTCCATCATGCCCCTAGGTATTCTTTTGGTGAAAGAGGAAACCAGTCTGCATGGGTACGAGGAAGAACAGGCCAGGTGAAGCCTGCTCCAGCCTCTGGAGGACCCACAGCAGGGTCCATTCCCTAGTTAGTGCCATAGCTGGGCTCACCCTCAGCCACAGGGGAGGGCAGACACCACCCCGCCCGGTGTTCTAGTGAGGACTGACCACAGAAGGGTGAAATAACTTGCTCAAGGTGACAGTTTCAACTGAAGTTGTCTGTCTTAAAGTTGTCTGTCTTAGAGCATTTTATTTATTGATTCATTTATTTTGGTGTTTTTGAAACAGGATCTCACTATATAGCCCAAGCTGGCCTCAACTTCATGTTGATCCTTCTGCCTCAGCCTCCAGCATGCTGAGATTACAGGTGTAACGCCACCATGTTCTGCCCACATATAGAATAAAACATGAGAATTTTAGGGTTGTGGGAAAAAATAAAGCTTATAAGAGGACCCAGGCATGCTGGCACATACCTGTAGTCCCAGCACTCAGGAGGCTGAGGCAGAAAAATTGTTGTGGGTTTGAGACTAGCCTAGGCTACAAAGTGAGCTCAAAGCCAGCCTGAGTTGCATAGTGAGACCCTGTCTAAAAAAAAAGACCAAATAAATGAATAGATGAAAAAGTTACAAAGCTGTGAATGCTCCATATTTCCACTGAATGCTTCTCCTGGGCTTTGGGAGGTGCTTGCTGTGTGGCCCTAAAGCCCTTCTCCATCTTGGTGTGCCTTATTCACTTACTCCATGGCACCCTGGCTGGGGACGCGGCTTACAGGCATCCCTCGGTCAGGTCCGGTCCCCGTCACCACAAGAATAGGAAAAAACCTCATCAAAGACTGATCGGAGTGTGCAGTGTGAAAACATCATTTTCTTTGCCTTTCTTACAGGAACAATGTCCCCAGCGTGACGGAGCAGTCTCTCATCTCTACTGGCGAGAGCAGAGTGCAAGTCCTGAAGAACGTGCCCTTCAACATCGTCCTTCCCCATGGCAACCAGCTGGGCCTCGAGAAGCGAAGCCACCTGACAGCACCCGACACCACCGTCACGGTCTCCATAGCAACCATGCCCACCCACTCCATCAAGACAGAAATCCAGCCACCCGGCTTCACGGTGGGGCTCCCCCCGGCTGTGTATCATCCCGAGCCCGCTGAGCGGGTGGTGGTCTTCGACCGGAACCTCAACACTGAGCAGTTCGGCTCTGGAGCTCAGCCCCCCAATGCCCAGCGACGCACCCCGGACTCCACCTTCTCTGAGCCCTTCAAGGAGGGCGTGCAGGAGGTACAGGAAACCCGGCGTCTTGGAGGCTGCCGTGTTTGTCTAAGTATTGGGTTCCACCTTGTCCTTGTTACGTAAACCTGAAACTCGGCCCAAAATGGATGGATTAGGAAGAAAAAGAGTTTGTTTTTCTTAAGAGAAAAGTCCCTTGGGGTATAACTTGTAAGCTAAACCTATAAATCCAGAAATTATTATCAGGGGCACATGGCTAATCTTACCAGCCGCTGAGTTAACAATTATGATTTCAGCTAAGTGGTTCGCTCCAGAAGGAAACAGCTCGTGCGTAGTCTTCCACTGAGCACAGAGCAGTGCCCGTGGTCTGTTCGCAGACAGTGCCCTGGCCCTAGGAGCTTCCTGCCACTCGCCTTTAGTGTGGGCGCCTTCTCAGGTGTCTGCCTTGTTGGTGGGACAGGCAGAGCACAGGTGCACCCCGTGGCACTTAGAGATTCACCACAACACTTCCGAGCGTTTCCAGCCCTGCACATCTCGCGCAGGTAAAAGTGAGGGGCTCGTGGCGTCTGAAGCCATCCTTAGTGCCCTGAGGGGAAACAGCTTCTGCCTGAGCATGCGGAGTAAGAAGAGGCTCTGTCGTCTCCTGAGAAAACACACTGTGCTCGCCAGCCTGGTGTGGCCCCAACGCCCAGATATCACGATGTTTTGTTTGCAGATTCTGGAGTTGAAACTGAATTGGGATGGGTAGGAGAGACAGAAGGGCTGTTGGTCCCAAGCGTTTCGTAGATGCACATGCACAATTGTCTTAATTTTCTTGCATAGTGTATAAAAGTAGACACTTTTTTTGTAATTATTTTTTAGTAGACAATCTTGCTGTGCAGTCCAGGCTGGCCTTGAGCTCACTCTGTAGCTCAGGGTGGGCTCAAACTCACAGCCATCCTCCTGCCTCAGCCTCCTGAGTGTTGAGATCACAGGTGTGTGCCACCATACCCAGCTTACACTTTTCCAATTTTTTTTTAAACTTAAACGTAATATACATCTAAAAGTTGATTTAGACAGGAACATTGCAAGGGTAATAAGTTGCCCTAAGCCACACACTCTTTGCCACAGCAGGGCCTGGCCGGGAGTAACCTGATGACGTTAAAGCGTTGTGGCTTATCCCATTGATGTTTCAGGTTTTCTTCCCCCCGGATCTCAGCCTGAGGATGCCCGGCATGAATTCAGAGGACTATGTGTTTGACAGTGTTTCTGGGTAATCATTGCCTCTTCATTGGATGTTTCATTTTTCAGCACTTCTGATCTGTTCCTTTCTTGTTGCTCACAAATCGGAGGTGGCTTGGGGTGGCCCTTTCCCCTCTCCCAACCGCTGGCTGACCGGGCCAGGGAGTGACCTGCGCTGCTGCCACATGGTTGATTGTGCTCTTTGGAGTCTTCGGTTCCCTCGTCTTCTGGTGGTGGTGCCTTTTCTTCCTCGGCCTCTCTCTGGGGTGTAGACGGATAGAATCTGAAAGGAGAGACGGGGATTAAACAGATCTCGAGGCCCCTCTGTTCCAAGAGTGGCAGGTGAGAATTGCAGGCTCACAGTGAGTAGACAAGGCCCTTATTTTTTATTAGCCTTGCTAGTGAGACAATAAATGAAAGCTATTTTTTGCTCATCTGAAAGCTGCATTTTAGTTTCCCCAAGTAGTAAAAAGAAATACTGTCAAATTACTGGGATCATGTATGAAGAATTTCAGGTTTTGAGGAGTGTGGGATAAGAGTATCATTTCATGCGTGTGTATGCTTTGTTGTATGTTAGGTTTGAAGTAGAGAAAGGGTTTTAAAGTCTAGGATTTTCCAAGCGTTGCGACTTCTCTGAGCGCCTTGATACATTTAGGGGTTTGGGATCGTGCCAGCCGCCCTATTCCCTAATGGGTCAGATGTGAACCTGTGATGCTCCGAGGACCTGGCAGCCTCTGTGACTGCCTGCTGGGCCGTGAGCACAGCCGGCTGCAGAGGAGGCACGCACACAGCACAGCTGTGTTCTGATTACACGTTATTTAGCAGTATGCTTTGTGATCTCCTTGTGCCATGCTACTCCTGTGGCCCAATCAGAAGAACTCTGTTTACACAGATGGTGTGATTTGCTGACCTCTGGCCTAGGGAAGTTGTACAAGGCATGACTGAATGGTAGGATAAGGGCAGGAAGTGAAGAGAACTGCAGCCTGCCAGCCTGCCCTTCTAGAGAGATTTCAGCCTTTTTTTTTTTCTTTTTTTTCTTCAGGATCTTGCTGTGTAGCTCAGGGGGGCCAACAGTTCAACATATAGCCCAAGCTAGCTTCAAACTCCTAGCAATCCTCCTGCCTCAGCCTCCTGAGTGCTGGGCTTGCAGCATGTGCCCCTGTGCCCAGCTCATTACATCCCATGCAGGGCTTCCAGCTGCCTTTCTGCCCTTTTGCCAGATCAATCCCAGGCTGGCAGTGTGTCCCATGGAGATCACTTGCTGACATCCTCACGGCCTCAGCCTCCAAATGGACGGCTGTTGGCATCACAGCTTAGAAGTTTTCGTGGCCCCATGCGGGAGACTCAAGGTTCTGGGTGCTGAGAGCTCACGCAGGGTCTTCATCTTGATAAAGGAGCGTGTGCCACCTACAGTCCAAGGGGCTCAGGGGCTGTCTTGGTTGAATAACACGCAGAGGCATTTCAGGGCTGTACCAGAGGTTCAACATCTGCCACCTCTCTGTCCTGCAGGAATAATTTCGAGTACACCCTCGAAGCTTCCAAATCGCTTCGGCAGAAGCCAGGGGATAGCACAATGACATACCTGAACAAAGGCCAGTTCTATCCTGTCACCTTGAAGGAGGTGAGCAGCACCGAAGGCGTCCATCACCCCATCAGCAAAGTTCGAGTAAGTCCTGCCCCTGCTTCTGTTCCCTGGGAAAGCTTAACAAGTGTCCCCAGATGTACCCAGCTCCTGCTAGGCATGGTGTTCACCTGTCATCCCAGCACTCGAGGGGCTGAGGCAGGAGGATCACCCTAAGATCAAGGCCAGCCTGGGCTGCAGAGTGAGTCCAAGGTTGGTCTGGACTGTGTAACAAGAGCCTGTGTGAAAACAACAGAAAGCAATGTCTCCAGGATCTGGCATTTCCGAGTCTGAAGCCGCCCTGAGTGACTACTCAAAGCCACTTCGAAGGCTGCACTGCAGACTCTAGTAGGTGGGCGTGCAGTGCAGCTCACGCGTGTCTGTGTCCGCAGAGCGTGATCATGGTGGTTTTCGCTGAGGACAAGAGCAGGGAGGATCAGCTGCGGCACTGGAAGTACTGGCACTCCCGGCAGCACACCGCGAAACAAAGGTGCATTGACATTGGTAAGAGCCAGCCGTGCAGTCCAGGGCTCAGGGCCGCTCTCTCCGCCCAGTTGTTTTTGGCAGTGGTCACTTCCTGCCAAAAGCGCCTGCACTTCTCTGCCAGTCGCTGGTCTTCACAGCCCGTCCTGGGCTTCCTGGAACTCATGTTCCGCCCTGGCTTCCCTCACAAGGGCCTGTGGCCAGGCAGTGGCTCCCAGGTGCAGCCAGGCTGGCCTAGAGCATTAGCAACTGGCGCGGGAGCGTTGGGTCTGGTCGTCCTGACCTTTTTGGCCATGCTGGAGTGGCTAAGGGCCTCGTACATGCTGGGTGAGCGCTCTGATACCTGGTCCCATCTGCGTGGTTTTTGAGGAACATGTTTTTAAGAGATGCTGGCCAGGTGCAGTAATACATGCTCCGAATCTCAGCACTCCAGAGGCTGAGACAAGAGGATTCCTGCTAGTTTGAGGCAAATGAGCACTGCATAGGCCAATCTGAACTACATAGTGAGACCCTGCCTCAAAAAAAAAAAAAAAAAACAGAACCTCATTATGTGTTTTAGGCCGTCCTTGAACTCATTATGTAGCGTAGGCTAACCTTGAACTGGTGACTCTCCTGCCTCAGGCTGGGATTCCAGGCACTCACCACTACACTGGTCTTAAATTTCCTAATTTTGACCCAGATTGAACTGAATATGTCTAAGCTTGCCTCTGTTACAGCAGTTCTCTGATTCTTTTTCTTCATTTTTTTGGACTTCCATCTCCCCATGGAAACGTTCATTTAAATTCCCCAGGGGTGGGGGGCCCTGCCCCTTAGCTCAGTTCTTTAAGTGGCTGCTTCAACAAAGCAGTCAGGCTCAGGTTGCTGTGGTTCGATCCCCACAACTTAAGCCAGCCAATCATGCCCTGAAGGCATTCGGAGCAAAAAAACCAAAAAACCCTTCTGCCTTTT